TACTGGCTAATGATTCTCAGTTACTAGCATATTCTAGTGTGTTATGCAGAATTTGCAAATTATAGGGCTGGACATGTAGCCTGCATATCACCAACTTGATTAGTTATACAGACTCTGACTGAGCTAACTGTCTTGACACACAATAGAGCATTAGAGGCTATTGCTTCTCTCTTGGATCAGAACTGGTGTCATGGAATGCTAAGTGACAGCAGACTGTAACTCTGTCTTCATGCAAAGCAGAATACATGGCTGTATATGAGGCTACAAAAGAAGCTATCTGGATTCAGGCACTGCTAAAAGATTTGAGACTTGAATATGACCAGGCCACTATAATCAATTGTGACAATAATAGCACTATAAGTCTCTTAGAAGATCTGTCTCTCTATTCAAGCATCAAGCATGTCAATATCAAATACCATTTTATTTGTAAATATATCAAAAACAAAAAAAATCAGACTCAGCTATATTAACACCAAGCACAACATCACTAATTGCTTTACCAAAGCTCTGAATACTATAAGCTTCTTGCATCTGAGAGGGTATATGGGGTTGCACAAGTAGAAGTTGAGGAGAAGTGTTGGCATTCTATTGTTCTTGAGACAATGGATGTCAGATACACCAAAGACAAAAAACTTACATTATTTATAGAAATTACATTGTTCATAGGGTGGCAAATGCCACTCAGTCACAGTAATATAAATATCTCATAAATATCTAGAGCTACCTCAGTCAATTATGCTATAAGCTTCAGACTGAGATATACATTATTTAGAAGTTGGTTTCTCAAAGAAAGCAAGCTCACTGCATAGAATGTTACAATATGTCTGCTTCATATATAAAGCTGGAAAAATCTTTTTGCCTGCTCTTTTGGCATTTGTTGCTTATTTCTTCAAAAAATAGATAGTGCATCATCTATCCAAAGCTCTTTGCAATGATTTTGAATAGTAGAGAGAATGTCTTTCCAAACTTTCATATAGATGGTCACTCATAGCAAGACAATATGTTGATCTTAATATATGGGTTGATGCTTCTTATTAAGAGATCAGTCTCATCATTAGAAATTGATAGGCTGCATGGAAACTGAATAATAAATGGAACACTGATGGCCATGATATAGGATGAGCTAAATCTATCACTGTCAAGATCACTTCACTTTATATGACATCTTTGACTTCTTTTCTTGATGCCAACTTCTCTCTGAACAGTAATAACACAGCAGTCATAGATGCACACAGTATTGAATGCTCTCATAATGGTAAGAGGAATGCTTCCATTCACTGTCTATCCCTTCTTCTTGCTCTTCAGAATTTAATCTTATCTCCTTCTTATGTTGAGTCAAAATTTAATCTTGCTAATTCTATTTTATTGAAGGTCTGCTTGTGCAGATCTGAGCTATGCAGATTCTCTACAGAAGATGCTGCAGCCTGTATTCTCACTTACTATCTCCCTCAGTTATATACAGTCTATATAGCTTATGGTTGTCATCATAACTGATATTCTCATTCAATTCCTTCCACTCATTTCAATGAACATTCTTGAGTTTGAATGTTATCTAAAATCAAACTGTCATCTTATCAGCTACTTGTTCTAGCTGATAAATAGCTGACAAAGTAGAGATCCTCTTACACAGATTTGGTTGATGAAAAACTGTCAACATTGGTATCAGAATATGTGCTCAACAGGTGGTATTCACTCATGACAAACTCTATTACTGAAG